GCAAAAATAATTTAATTTGACTGATTAAATCTTATCTTAATTTTTCTAAACTTTTCTTATCTTATCCTAATTTCCGTTTGATGCTAAATTCTGGCACCAATTTATTATTCGAGAAATCTCGCAAATTTCGCAAAATTTCGCAAGCTATACTCAATTTGCAAGATATGCAAATATGCGAAGGTTGACGTGAGTACGCCGAATTTTAACTCATTTATCTAATTACCACTGTTTTCACGGTATGGACTTTTTCGAAAAACGTCCTTCGTCATTTTCTTCCCTGAAACAAAAGAAACAACTGAATTAATAAAAAATCGAAATGTGACAAATTACTTGGTTCTTTTTAATCCTAATTTCTGACACGAATTTATTATTTCCGAAATCTCGCAAAATTCGTAAAAATTCGCAATTATTCTCAATCTGCAAGATATGCAGATACCTGTTCACGTTCATTCATTTGAGTGATTATGATGGTAAGTGATAGTGAATGAAAATGAATTCCCTATGGTTTGAATGAAAATGATTGAAGATTCCGTCATTTCAGATGAATGACTGTGAATGAAGGATTTTTCACTCATTTCATTTTTCACTCTATGCTTAATACATGGGCGAAGTAAGAAATGAAGTCAGACGAAGTGAATTGAAATGAAATGAAATGAATTTGAAGGAAAATACTGAATGTGAATGAAAATCTTCAGGCAGAAATCGGGATTACTGAACTTTGAATGAAAACTGCATTTTTGAACAGGTATGGATATTCAAATATGTGAAGGTTTGTGAAGGTGAGTACTTCCAATAATATTTACCCCAGTTGTTAAACTTGATCTATCACTGTTTTTTTAGGTTATGAAAGTCAAAATACGCAATTCGGCCTTTTCCTCTCGCATTTCTGTCGTGAATTTATTTCTGAAATATATTTTGTACCAATCAATGTGTTCTTCAATAAAAATTAATTTCTTTTCTGTAAAAAAAAGTTCCGAAATCTTAGAAAACGATGAAATTTTCAAGTTATGTTAAATTTGCGAGGTATTCAAATATTCGAATGTTGACGTGAGTACCTCCTCCAAGGGTTATTCGCCAATCTAATTAACACTGTTTTTAATATATGATTTTTAAAAAAAAACGTCATTCGGCGTCTTCCTCGCAAAAAAAACTAAAGTAATTAAAATTCGAAATTTTGGTCACGAATTTATTTCCAAAATTTCACCGCAAAAATTGCAAGTGATGTTGCTACGCCGCATGATTTGCTAGTTATGGAAATGTGAAACTCTTCGATCTTTCACTATTTTCATGTTATGAAATTTTTCAAAATACGTCATTCCGCGTTTTCCTTTCTCCAAAGACAGAAAACACTATTTAAATTAATTAAAAATCAAAATGGGACAAATTCATGTGTTCATTTTGATCCTAATTTTTGCCACGAATTTATTTCCGAGGCCGACTTCCGCCGTGAGGAAGAAGAACCCGAATGTGAATATTGACCCCGAATTTGATGAGGAGGCTGGTGACGAAAAGTTCAATTCGAACGGGAACCCTTGCCTCGACCCGGATGACGCGTCGGGTGATTGCGTTCATGTATGTAAATTATTTGCAAATTTGGATAATATGCTAATCCAATTGTTTCAATAATTAGCAGCGGTTTAGCCTTTAACTTGTGTATCGGTTTGCGAAATGTTTGATCAAAAGCAGCCAAAATTGGAACTATTTGGAAAATAAAAGTAAAATTGCAATATCTTTTTTTTACTAATAGGCAAAAACTTACCCCCCAAAATTCCACCAATTACAAATAAGTATAAATATTGCTGTCGAAATTTTGTGTTTTTTATTTTTGTGCTTTGAAACCCCAAAATTATTTAAGATTATTAAAAAAATTAGACCCGGTCGAAAGGTATTTAAGGTCAAAATATCTGAAATCCCAATTTTATGAAAATTATTAAACTCTGACACGGGCCGAAGACCTTGTGGTGGTGGAATTTTGAATCCGCTACTGCAATTCTAATTTTATTTTCAACATAATCACAATTTTTGGGATGATTTTTGCAAAAAATATCTAGATGGATATCTATTTTGCAAAGCTAGGAATTTTTGCAAATGAATTTATGCAAATTTTTCAAACCTACGAATTTTTCAAACCTACGAATTTTGCAAACCTACAGGTCGACTTTGTGGAAGGTTCGGTCGAAGAGTTCATCCCGGAAGAGCTGACCGCGCACCTGATCGCGATCTCTGGAAAGTACACGAAGCGGATTTACCCCCCACGCCCCCACCCCATCAAAGCCTTGAAACGTTACGCCGAGCTGCCCTACCCCATCCCGGTCGGGCCGAGCATCTTCTTCTGCTCGTTTTTCCTCGTTCTCACGTCCTGGTGGATGCGACACGTGTTGACCTTTGCCCTCCGCCACACCGCGGCCACTCTCGACCTCTACCCGGAACACCAGGACTTTCCGAACCTTCATTTATACGCGTTGCAGGAGTCCAAGAGGGAGGCAAGGTTGAGAAGAGAGGTGAGAAAGTATCGTCAAAATCTGCACATTTTTATGGATTTGTCCGCTCTGGGAATTTATTTTAAAATTCTGGACGACGAATTTGTAGAGCAGGGAGTTCCCAATTTTTTAAAATATGCACTCCAGATTTTGACACTTTTTGAAGGAGGAGATCTCAAGTTTAGAAAGCCTTCAGAAAAATTGGAACTCGTCGAAACTGGCTCAAAAAACTCGACGCCATTCCATTAATCAACTCACCAACGGCAAATCTGTCGTCCAGAATTTTAAAATAAATTCCCAGAGGCGAGAAATAAACAAAAATATGATATTCGATGACTTACCACCAAACTTGTTAAAATCTGCATATTTTTTAATCATTTCTCGCCTCTGGGAATTTATTTTAAAATTCTGGACGACAGATTTGTAGTCGGTGAGTTGATTATGGGAATAGCGTTGGGTTTTTTGAGCCAGTTTCGACGAGTTCCAATTTTTCTGAAGGCTTCCTAAACTTGGGATCTCCTCCTTCAAAAAGTGTCAAAATCTGGAATGTATATTCTTTAAACGTGAAACAACCTACTGTTTAAATTTGCCGTGCAGAAATTTTAAAATAAATTCCTAGAGGCGAGAAATGATGACAAATGTGCTGATTTTGTCGATTTTGACGATGAATTATTGAGTCCTACGTTAAATTAATTTTCTTGTGAAAAAATTAATTCCAGGCCAGAAACACGTGGGCATGGATGGCAAAAAAGTACATTTTGCGACAAAACGACCCCAAAGTTAATGTCGACGTGTTTCAGACAACTTGGGCGGATTTCGACGTCCCAAAAGACGTTTGGGGCATTGTCCGCGCTGTTTTAAGGGTACGACGCTACGTTGATTAAATACTTAAAGTGTTAATTTAGTAGTTAATTAATTAGGAAATTTTATTTAATTACTGAACGACAATTAAATTAAAGTGTTAACTAATTATGTGCACAGGCGAGCGCGTGGATGACGAAAAAGGGGTCGACGGACGGGGTCAAAAATTTAGGTGACCAAAAGGATGATAAGGACGACGACGGTAAGGGAGCTAAAAATGTGACCTTTCATCGTGCCAGCGTCAAGGGGAACGAGGTCAAACGACTGAGCGTTTGGTTGGAAGAACTGGAATTCGCGAGTAGTAAGTGGATCGTAATAATAAATTTAAGGTCAAATCGATGTCAAATCGACAACCATTTATCATGAATAGAGGGCGGATATGTATTCATTTTCAAATTGGTCATTTGATTCCGACCGGTGGGCAAACTTTGGGTGTTTCCCTTTACTCGCATAGATCACAAAAATGCCAAAATATTTGTTAAATATTTTTACATTTCTAGGTTTTCAGAAACATTTGTTAATATTTCTGCTATTATTTGAAAAGTATGCAAATCAATTACATATTTTAAAAAGATTCATATATTTTGTAAATATTTCAACGAAGTGAGATAATTTTTTTTTACCCAATTGCCTGTTTAGAAAAATCCAGAGCATTAATTCAAAAATGCAAATTTTGAGGAAGTCCTTATTAGGTCGTACATATTTATTTATATATTTCGTAAATATTATGGCGTTTATTTTTTTATTATCGAATTGTTTACATATTTCGCAAATATTGAATCCATATTTCCGTGATTTTTCGTAAATTCATATCCGCCTTCTGCTTATAAAATAGATAACCGTCCCAACAAAAAGACTCTTCCGACGACGAAAGATGACCAGAAGAAATCACGCCCCGTTGAAGAAGGTCCACCGACCACGCTGCATCGTCCCGACGCCAAGTTTGACCACCGTCATGATAAGGACGATGATAAGGAGGAAATTATGGCGGAGGATAACAATCCACCGGAAGAAACAGACTTGGACTACGTGCTTATCGAAATGATGGATGAAGCGGTTGGACCTCCGTCCCGGTAGGAAAGCCAATTCAAAGTTTGATTAATTAACAGTTTTTTTTACTAATTATTATTGCAAATATGTAAATAAGTATGGCAAAAATACATAATCTACATTTTAACGAGGTATCAAAGTCTCTCGTACATATTTAATGGATGACATGTTAATAATAAAATAGGTTAATAATTAAGATTTCCGGTCATTAAATTAAATTAATTACCTATGATGTATAGTCAATTGGTAATTAAAATTACGGGAAAAATATTTAGTGAGTGGCCAAAGTTAATGATTTTTATGCCGGTTGAGGTGGTAAAGATGGTCAAAGTTTGATTGATTAACATAGTTTTTATTCATTAATTATTATTGCAAATATGTAAATAAGTAGGGAAAAATATATATAATCAACATTTTAACAAGGTATTAAAGTCTCGTACATATTTAATGGATGACATTTTAATAATAAAATACGTAAGTAATTCATACAGAGTGAAAATGAGTCAGTAAGGATTTTGAAAGTCCAGCAGATTTAGTAAAAATTCATAAGGTTATAAATTAATTAATATGAGAAGATCTATCCTACTAAATAGTTAAGATTTCGTGTCATCTAATTAAATTAAATTAATTGTGCTGTAGTCAAATTTTTAATTAAAATTAAGGGATAAATGTTTAGTGGCTTGGCCTGGCCGGGTGGTCAAATTTTTTAAAAAAGTTAGTTATTTTTATGGGAAGACGAGAAGCTGAGCCGAAATTATTCCTTTGAAATGTCACATTTGCAAATATGTTGAATACAGTTAAAGTTTTAGCAAATTTGAGCTCTTACACTATCATCTTGGGAAAAGTTGAGCATTGCAAAAAAATTCGCATCATATTAATTAATTAATTCTTCACATTCTCGTCTTACATTGCATGATGACGACTCGTTTAAATAGTCGTATATTTAAATACCAAATTACACAAATACATTTGCTGCATAATTAACTTAATTTATGGACCTAGATTCACTTACAGTAAGATATTCATCATGTAACTATTTATACAAAAGTATGTACACTGGCAGCAAATAATTTAGGAGGAAATCTCAACAAGAAGTGTTTATAAAGCGAAAAATATATATGATTAATCTGCATTTTTTGTGCAATAATTAATTGATCATTAATTGATAACAAAGAGCCAACATTTTCTTTTCTAGAAGTATTTAGAACAACGTTATAGACGTAAATTTTGGAAATTTTCGAAAATGGGAAACTATGTAGTTATTTAACACTTATTTTACAAGACTCGTGTACTATTTAAAAAAAACTAGAACCTTGAAAAATGGGCCATTTTTATGGTGGCGTAATAATCTCCCCTTCACCACCATCACTTCCTTCGTAATACTCTTCCTCGACCTCGTCCGCCCAAGAAGTGCCCAACTTATCGTCCCCTTCTTTATCTTGACTTTGCTGAGATGATTCAGTCATCGTGGTGTCGAGGGCGTCGTTTTCGATGCCGTCGTCGTCGTCGTCCTTTTCAAGTTTGGGTTCCACCTTGAGCAAAACTTGGTTTGCGAAGGAGACTCCGACCGAAAACGCGGCCGAGATGGAGGACGAGGTGGAGTCCGTTTCGACATTTGTGGATTCCGAGGTGAAAGAGTCGTTTAAACCTTCTTCTTTTGGCGTTAATGAGGCCGCACTTTCGCCCAGCTCCATCTTGAGCTCGGCGCCGCTGTCTTGGGCTTTTTGACTCCAGCAGTGGAGATTGAGCCGCCACTGTTTGACGAGACCGTCCCACGCGCGACGACTGTATTTTCGATGCATGTTGGGCGTCTTTGGGTGAAATGGTTTACGATCGGGGCTGGAAAAAGAATGGGAATTTGTGAAAATTTTGAGAGGAACAAGATTAACGTTGCGTTATCTTAACATTTTCAATCATTTCTCGGCTCTGGGAATTTATTTTAAAATTCTGGACGACAAATTTTCAGTCGGTGAGTTGATTAATGGAATGGCGTTGAGTTTTTTGAGACAGTTTCGACGAGGTCCAATTTTTCTGAAGGTTTCTTAAATTTGAGATCTCCTCCTTCAAAAAGTGTCAAAATCTGGAGTGTACATTTCCCAAAAAATTGCCAAATCCCTGCTCTACAAATTTGTCGGCCAGAATTTTAAAATTTCCCAGAGGAGAGGAGTGATTAAAAATGTGCTGATTTTGACGTTAACCTAAATTTGCTAAAAAGTATAATTTGTGCAAATTTTTGTTTGCAATTTTTTTTCACTCACCGTGGCACTGATTCAGCATAGTGAACGTATTCCGGTGTATTTTTCCCATATTCGATCTGTTTCTGTCTCCTGCCCAAAGTTGTGACGTCAGTTTCCACTTCAAAACCTGGCTTGGAATCGTTGGAGGAACGCATACTGGTCGAACTGAGGGGTCGTTTGAGTGTATTTTCGCCGAGCCGATCGTGAACACTGCCGCGTTCGCCGAGTCGATCGTGAATGGAGCCACGTCGGCCGGTCTGGTCACCGAGACGGTCATGAATGCTGCCGCTTCGTTTGGTTGTCTCATCACCTGTAGAATTAGTAAATATTATAAGTTAATGGCTAGTTAAAATTGATGAAATTTAGTGTATGACTTGATGGCTCATTGTCAAAATCAGCACATTTTTTAATCATTTCTCGCCTCTGGGAATTTGCTTTAAAATTCTGGACAACAAATTTATAGAGCAGAGGGAGTTGCCAATTTTTTTAATGTACACTCCAGATTTTGACACTTTTTGAAGGTGGAGATCTCAAGTTTAAGAAGCCTTGGAAAATTTGAAAGAAAATTTGGAGCTCGTCAAAACTGGCTCAAAAACTCAACGCCATTCCATCAATCAACTCACTGACTACTAATTTGCCCTCTAGAATTTTAAAATAAGTTCCCAAAGTGGAGAAATGATTAAAATTATGATGATTTTGACGATTTTTGAGATAAGTCAAGTCACGCGTTAAGTTTTCGCGATACAAAACATTGCCAAATTTCCCCCTCAATTAAGAAATGATTAAAAATGTGCTGATTTTGGTCATGAGTATCGTAATGCAAAATATTGCCAAATTTTCCCCTCACCTGTCCCCAAACTGGAGCTCGATCCCTTATTTGAAGAGGTCTGTGACCTCGTCGCCCTCAACGTTTCCCGTCCAGCCGGCTTAGTCGTCGCCACAGATGGAAATTCCTCTTCATTATCATCTTCCTCCTCCTCCTTTTTCACCTTGAGTTCCGGAAACTCTTGGTCATCTTCTGACGCCGAGTCGTAATCGGGCAGCTCTGTTTTGACGTCACTTATCGCCAACCGACTTTTTTTCGCCTTTGTGACATCCTCCTCCACATTCAAAGAGGACGACGTCTTCATCGGACTTCCCGTCTTGGACGAGATTGGAGCCATTTGGAAGTTTATTAGATCTCTTGATTAGATAAAGAGAGGAATAATTAGTTAATAAATTATAATAGAGGTCGGCGAGCGTATGTTCTAAGATTTTGAGCAAATTAGTGTGAGTGAATCGATCGCAAATTTAATTAGGATGAAATTTTCAAACGATATGCGTTTGGCAGATATAGTTGCTTCCGGAGAGGAGAAAATGTGCTCAAAAAATTGACAAATTTTAATTTTACTACCAGTTTTCGATCACAATTTTACACTTATCAAATTTTCATTGCGTCCTGTTCGGATGCAAATATCTGCCAAACGTGCCCGTCTTTTGCAAATTTCATGTTAATCAAATTTGTGATCGATTCAAACTAATTTGCTCAAAATTTGACAGCATACGCTGGGAGACCTTTATTCTTAGTGTAAAATTAATTGTTAAGTAGTATTTAAACTTATCAAACCACAAACTTTAATTTCAATTCGGTCAGCAGAAGGAAGAGAGAACAAAAACAGAGAACAGAACAGGACAAGTGACTGACTGAGGGTTCATCCCGCACAAAACAAAGACCATCCCGCGGAGCAAAGTCTCATCTCGTTCTCGTCTCGTCAAAATAATAATTTGTTCAATTAAACCGTTAATTATTATTCGTAATTCTTAGTTGCACCAATTAAAGTATTTGCACATTATTTTGAACATTTAGGACTTGTCTGGCAATTTAAAATGTCACGTTTTATACTAAAATGAGGTAAAAAGTAAGTAAGCAAAAATAAAATCGTACGTATGCAAAAAGATTGGATTTTTGGAGACCGAGAAAGCAATTGAAAAAAGTTTGTTGAAAATTTGTTGCAAATTTTTTGCATGGATTATGCATGCATATTTTACGCATGAAAAACAGTATACAAAATTAACAAAACTATGGTCGATTCATTTATCTCTATTAATTTTTTATGTTATTATGCATTACTTTTTTTTGCAAATAGTCGTACAACTACGACATATCATCTCCATTTAAATATTGCATTAATTAAAGTAAGTATTTTCACATTATTTTGGACATTTGGGACATATTTGGCAATTAAAAATGTCACGTCTTATGCTAAAATGAGATAGAAAGTATATTAGTAAACAAAAATAAAATCGTACGTATGCAAAAAGAGAAATATTTTGAAGACGGAGAAAGCAATTGAGAAAATAGTTTTTTGCAATTTTTTTTGCACGTACATGTATTCATGCATATTTTGTGCATGAAAAACAGTGTACAAAATTTTTTTAACCAGCCGATTTGTTTATCTTTATTAACTTTTTGCATCATTCTGCATGACTTTTTTTTGCAAATAGTCGTCAAACTGCGATAGGTCATCGGCACCATAAAAAAACCTTTAAATTAAGTTATTAAATCTCCACTTAAATATTTTTAGTTGACCTCATTTTTTTTCCACCAACTGTAAAAATGTCACGTTTCTTTTTTTCTCAACAAATAATTATGAAAAATAAAAGGTGTCATTCTCGTTTTGAGACAAAGGAAGTAAGATTTTTATTGGTTATTGACCGACTATAATTGATTCCAAATCGGATAAGAAAAATATTTGTCGCCGGATTGTCGCCAAAAATATGTATAGTTGGATAAGTGATGAGTGAGGGAGATATCGGTGATGATAAGAAGAGGTGGGTCAACTCACCATTATATTTGAGGTTGCAAAAATTGTATAATATGCGAAAACGCGTATCTATTTATTTAGCATAATCGGCGACATTGAGTCGATTTATTGTAATGTAGTCTGATTTTGTGTGCATACAAAATTTGTCAACTCTTTTTATGTAAAGGTAGCAAAATAATCTTTGAGTGAATGAAATGCATCAACAGCTTGGAATTTTTATGAATGGAAACTTATATATACAATAATACATATAACAAAAATTCTGCAAGTAAGCAAAAAAAATTCGCGAACACTTATAATTGGCAAAAAAAATCGTGAACACTTTTCATTTGCAAAAAAATCAGAAACCTGAATGAAGTCTTGTGCTAAATCTCCAAAAATATCTAATAGCTTATTATATCTAGCTTATCATAGCTTATCAGTATTATCGTTTATTTGTAGTCCAAATTTTGCACAAATTTATTCATGCAATCATTTCCTAAGTGTGCAAAATTTCGAATATGGGAATATTTTCGTTGAAAAAATACATATCATTTACAGTGCAACTTTTTGCGAAAATTCAGTCATGAAGTCTGCTCAAAAAATCGCCAAAAATCTCAAATATCTAAATCCCTTATCATCTTTCATCCAACTTTCCCTTCAGACGAGATAAGAACGACTTCAACTTGACACCTCCATCCAGCACGGATCGAAGCCTTATGAATGAATAAATACCATTATTTATTCGTTTAATCTTGTAAATATCGCGACAATAATAATAATTTCACCTTCTTTTTTTTGCACATATGTACGTATCGAATTTTAGAAATTGGCGACAATAATAATTGCACCTTATTTTTTTGCACATATGTACGTATCGAGTGTTAGAAAATCGCGACAATAATAATTGCATTGTCTTTTTTGCATAAGAGCAGAATAGTATCGAATTTTAGAAATTCGCGACAATAATAATTGCACCTTCTTTTTTGCACATATCAAATGTTAAGCTCATTAATGACATGAAAATCTCTTAAACACAAAACGACGACTCGTATTTCATTTCGTCCGTCTCCAGCAGATTCCCTGCAAAAAGATTTTGCGAATCTCGTTGTTCTCACACAGATCCATAAGTAAATTCGCACACAGTTTCTGCCACTCAGTAGCAATTGGCACTTTGTCTCGAAGCGAGCGTGCAAAAACTTGTCTTCATTGCCGACTAGTAAAATAAAAAATAAATAAAATAATTTATACAATAAAAGCCCACCTATTTAGCCGGGAGGTGCATAATTTTATTGCCATTAATATTTTCAAACATATAAATAATATCCGACACCGAGTAAGGAGAAACGTAACGTAACGTATGACATTCGCGAAATTAAGGCCACTTCCTATTTATTAAGTTTGACAAACTGGATTAAATAAAATGTCTGAACAAATTTCCGCAAACGACACACATGCAAAAAAGTTAAAGCCGGTCAGTCAATTGTGCTTCTTCCGAGTTAAGAGTACCTACTTAATTCCGATTAATTAATTAAGAATTAATTAAATCTAAATAGATAACTATTTAGCACACAACAGTTATTACATGCATAAAATGTGTTACAAATTTTAAGAAATTTTCATAAACGACACAAACCCACTTGCAAAAACTTAATTGTGATACAATCCTTCTTCGAAATTAGTACATTCATAATTCCGATTAATTAATTAGCAATTAAATAATTTCAGACAATATATTATAAATATTAGCTCAAAACTGGATTAAATGCATAAAATGTGGATCAAATTTTAAGAAATTTGCGTAGACGACACACCCGTAAATTGTGAAAGTATTATTCTAATTGCGATTAAATTAATTAACAATTAAATAATTTCCAATAATACTAAACTATTTATTAGCTTAAAACGGGAATAAATTGATAAAATGTGTCTCAAATTTTGAGAAATTTTCGTAGACGATACAAACACACACGTGCAGGAAAATTAAAGCCGATCAATTGTTTTGTGCTTCTTCGGAATTCCGAGTTAATAATACCTAAATAATTCCGATTAGTTAATTATCAATTAAATAATTGAAGACAATAGAAAAGTAAACTATTAGCTCATCGGTATACATACATACATAAATAATTTGCATACATAAATTCGCACACATTGTTCCACATTCCGCATTCCTCTTCTTCATTTTTGCGATGTTGTCCTCATCGACCTTGTCCTCGACATTGTTCTTGTTCTTGTTCTTATTCTTGATAAGTGGTGTTCCGATAAGGTGTCGATCCATCACGACGACGCTGCTCAGTAAGGAATCGTCGTCTCGTCTCACCCCCGGAAACGAGGTCGTGTCTCACCTGCTCCAAGAGGATGATGAGATTGCCGAGGAGAAAAATGAGATTTCTGGGATGGCCGAGGTTAAGAAGAAGTTGGGACATAGCAGCCTGCTCAAACTGCCGGCTTATCTGGATGGGGCTTATCTGGACGGGGGGTTTGGGAGGGTGGGGGTCTTTGAGAGGGAGGAGGAGGAGGAGGAGGAAAATGGGAGGGATTATCTGGGAGTGGTGGATGATAAGGAAGAAAATTCGCCACTGGCGAGGGTCTGGCTTCCGGTGGAGATTAGAGGTGAGTGAGAATTTTGGAATTTTGCAAAAATTTTGTACTTTAGTTTTAAATTTTGTGGGTTGTGTTTCTCGCAAAATTTTGCACCCTATTATTGTAATTTAGATTTGAGAATGAGAATTAAGTATGTATGCTGGTTTTAATTTAATGAGTAATTTCGTAGTTTGTAGCAAAATTTGGTAATTTTTTGCACACTATTTTTGCACAGGGTGACTTTTTTGGTGTTCTGTGAAATTTTTGTAGTCTAGTTTTAAATTTTGTGGGTTGTGTTTCTTGTAAAAAGTTGCAATGTTTTTGCACATTATTTTTGCAAATTAGATTTATGATTCATAAATTATGAATGAGAATTGTATGGGCTGGATTTCTTGAGAACCTTTGTAATTTGTGTTTCTCGCAAAATTTTGTAGTTTTTTTATTATTTGCACACTATTTTTGCAAGGGTAACCTTATTGGTTTTTAAAATTTTTGTAGTTTGATTTTAAATTTTGTAGTTTATGTTTCTCGCAAAATTTTGCAATTTAGGTTTTTTTGCAAACTATTTTTGCATGGTGATTTTTGACAAGGTGACCTTGTTGGTGCAATTGGATAATAAATTAGTAAACCGATCATTAAAGAATAATAATATTAGGTCAGGTTGGTTATCGTATCAGGATTTGGATCGAATTTCAGTGAAATTTGCAACCTCTATTTACACATCTGTATGTGCGAAACGATGCCATTTATTTTTTTGCACTAAAGTAATGCATCTGTTTATCGAGGAATGACGGAGCCACACTTGTTGCGTTGTCTGGAAGTGATAACACTTAAATTTTTTACGATTATCTTTCCCACGAAGAAATAAGAAAGGAGAACGTGAATAATTAAATTGTGTAACATGTGGAGAAACACGTGCTAAAGTCATCAATAAAAATGTTGTGACTTTGTAACTTTGTAAATATGTATATTTTGAAGATTTTTAAATTTATTTAATGCTGAATTAGATAAGTGGCATATCGGGGCTTATCATTAGAGGGCGGATATGTAAATATTTACGAAAAATCTCTGACATATTTCTTGCAAAAACCCTAAAAATATTTCCGAAAAACGTTGAAATATTTACGAAATATATATATGACATATCGGAGCTCATCATTATATATATTTCCGAAAAATCGCTGAAATGTCGAAGTATTTGTATTTTTGAATTTAATTTGAGCTCCAGATAAGCTTAAGTAATTAAAGTAAATTGAAATACATACATTTACATTTAGAAATTTCGTGGAAAAGTTAAGAGGCGAAAATGTAAAATGATACTCTTTTCCGCTAAAAATATCATGATTGGTTAATTTTACAATTAGAATATTCATGCCGATTATCTTCTTAATGATAAGCTGAAATAATTAACATAAATTTTGAAATTTCGAGAAGTTAAACGCCAAAAATATAAAATTATGTCGATTACATAATGTTTAAAAATTAGATTTTGTCACCTGTCATTAAAAATTTGAAATTTCACGAAAAGTTTAATAATTAAACAATTTTATTTGTGTAAATAAACCAGGCTTGAATTCGTGTCGCTTATCGCGCTCATGATAAGATGAAATAATTAAGATTTTATACATACATTTAGAAATTTCCTGAAATTAAAGGTCGAAAATACAAAATTTTGGGGATACATAAGAATTGTGTAGAAAATTAGATTTTGAAACTTGAGTATAAAATGTCACAAGTTTAATAATTAAGTAAAACGTAATATCCATGTATGTAAATCGGACTTGGATTCAGGTCGCTTATCGTGCTCATGATAAGCTTAATAAATAATTTACATAAATTTACATACATAATTAGATTTGGTGTCAGGATAAGCTTAATAATTAAAACTGTGTAAGTAAGTAGTCAGCTTATCGTCCTCCTGATAAGCTGAACTAATTAACAGTTTATGCACATATTTAGAAATTTCCTGAAATTGAACGCAGAAAATATAAAATTATAAGGATCACAAAACGTCAGGTAACGTTGTAAATCTTATGTAAAGACTTCACGATAAGTCCATATAATTAAAACGTAAGTAATATCCATGCCGCTTATCGAGCTGATTGATAAGCTGAAATAATTAGCATACATTTACAAGTTTTTTTAAGCAATAAAACGCCGAAATGTAAAATTATTATGATTATAATTGTAGTGATCGTGTAGAAAATTAGATATTGTAATCTCTTATTGTCCTCATTATAAGCCAGAATACTTTCAATTCCTTTTAGAAATCTCAAGGAAATTATACCCCGGAAATATAAAATTAGAAGGATTACATATCGATAAATTTGATAGAAAATTAGATTTGGTCATTTGCGGTTAAAATTTCACGATAAGTTTAATTATTCCTGTGAGTAAACCAGACTTGAATTCAGTGCGCTTATCGTGGTGAAGATAAGCTGAAATAATTTACATAAATTTACATAAATTTACATACCTATCTACAGAAATGTAAATTTAGAAATTTCGTGAATAAATTAACGCCGAAAATATGAAATTATGAAGATTACATATAAATTTGAGAGATAATTCATTAGATTCTGGGACATGATAAGTTCAATAAATAAAACATAGCATCCATGCAACTTAACCAGACTTGACTTCATGACGCTTATCGTCCTTATGATAAGTTGAAATATTTTTTAATGAAATATACATTCATAAGTTTTCTGAAACTAAACGTTGGAAATATTAACTGTCCCCTTATTGAAAGTGTCAGTCTATTTTGACCTGCAGAAAATGAATGCATGAATCAAATCAAATGAAACTTTTGTGGAATACTAACGATGAGCATACCGAAGTTTTTTAATCCTTTAGTTGTGCAAATACCCCTTCCGTACCCGTGGAGAGAAGATTTTGTCGCACACCTTTCATGAGCGCTTCGCCACTCGTTTCATCAACTTCTATGATGGTTTTCTCCATAACCCGATGAAATTCGTCCAAATTTTGTGATATCATTTTTTTATGACAGTATTATTTCTTAAGTAATGCCCAAATTCTTTTAATAGGTCGACACTGAGGTACTTTTTGAGCCTTGTCTATTTTATCGACAAAATCAACTTTTTTCCCTTCGAGGTACCTGGTCACTATTTTGGCATTCTGGTACGTACCCATGCCAGGGAAAAATAAAACGTGTTTGTTTTTGATAGAGGGGGTCAATCTCCTGGTGATACACTCTTTGAAACAAATCCAAAAGTTCAAATTCTTCGTGGAGGCGAATCGATTTGAGACGCTCCCATTTTTGTCGATCGGCAGCCATTTTATATATTTCATCCGAAATTTTGCTTGGTTTTGAATTGAAATTTCGAACGAACGTCATTCTTACTTCCACATGAGCAGAACTTTACACGATTGATGCTACGAGGTCAACGGGGTCGTAGTTTTAACAATTCATGACATCAAACTTCGGGGTGTCAGTTTTAACATTTTCTACACAAGTTTTTCACAAATAGCTTTGGCTCCTCCTTTTTTGTCTTGATTGTACTTTGGCGCGGTTTTAGTGTTGTACGTTTTGAAGCCCATCTTATTGGCATTGATCCTGCGAAGATAGGTTTTTGAAATTTTTAGTTGTCTGGGTGCAAGCCTCATGGATATGTTGGTGTTGCATCAGAAAGATTTCTTCACGTTTCGCGTGAGTATATTAGTGTCCTGGCGGACAGGTTGACAAGGCCAAATTTTATAATTTGCATTTTCACGATCCTAAGATATGTCTAATGTATGACTGATTTTGTCCGGGCCATCCCTTGAACAATTAATTGGTGATGTGCTCTTTTCCGATCCGAGAAATACACTTTTTTGATGAAGTGGCAAACTAATTTTTCCACTTCCTCTAAATTTTGTGCTGTCATTTTTGAACGAAAAGAGATAATCAAATTCTGTCTTCGGCTTTATAAAGCTTATCAAATTTGCCAATTTTTTTTTATTTTTACATGTGCGAAATTCATTTTTAACTGGGTGAACCAATAGAGGGAACCTTGACACTTTCAATGTGGGGACAACTCATACAAAATTATGAAGATAACATTGTGTAGCAAATTAGGTTTTGTAACTTACACGTAAAAAATGTGACAAGTTTGAAAATTTAAACGTTATACCCGGACAAGATAACCAAGATTCACGTCGCTTATCGTCGTTATGATAAGCACAAATGATGAACATAATTATTTAGAAATTTCAGGGAGAACTTAAACATCGAAAATGCAAAATTATGAAAAATATGTGCCTAATAATTGTATAAAATCAATATCCGTGTGTAAACTGGGCTTGAAATGGCGCTTATCGTTTTCATGATAAGCTTAAATCATTAACAAATCTATATTTTTGTTAGAAAATTAAACGCCGATAATGTAAATTACGAGGGTTACATATAAATTGGAGAAAAAATTAGATTTTGAGAATTACTACTAGCAATTTCACGATAAGTTTAATAATTAAAACGTAACATTCGTGCAAGTTAACCGGACTAAAATTCGTGCCGCTTATCATCCTCGTATTTATGATAAGCTGAACTAATTAACATCAATTTGCACACATTTATCTAGAAATTTCGTGGAGAACTTAAAACGCCGGAAATATAAAATTACGAGATTTCATAACATTTATAAATGGAAGATAAAATTTGGGGTGTGGTTCAAGTTTTCACGATAAGCCTAATAATAAACAAGCCATAATATCCGTGTAAATTAACCGGACTAGAATTCATATCGCTTATCATCCTCATGATAAGGTGAAATAATTAACATAAATTTACATACATGTAGAAACTTCGTGGAGAAATTGAAACGCCGGAAATATAAAAGTATGAGGATTGCGTAGAGCATGGAAAACTAGGTTTTGTGACTTGTTATTAAGAATTTCACGAAAGTTTAATAAGCTGGGCTTTAATTCATATCACTTATCGTGCTTACGATAAGCTTAAAAAATTAAGATTTATACATGCATTCAGAAATTTTCTGAAATTGAATTCAGAAATTTCCTGAAATTTAACGCCG